CAAATCTTCCAAATCCCCTGATGGATATCCTGTCATATTTTTAAAGTCAATTGCAAATGTTATTGCAATTCTTTTTTCTATTCTGTTTGAAATGTCAATGTCCAAAAATGTTATCGCTAGGATTTGGAAAACCGCAATAATATGTACAATTTTTAAAAAAGGAAACCCGTTGTTTTCCACAAATTATAGGCCTATTTCTATGACATGTACTGTGTGTAAAATTATGGAACCAATTATCACGGAAAGCGTTACAAGTTATTTACTCCTGAATAATTTCATTTCTGTGCATCAGTACGGCTTCTTAAAACATAGATCCTCATGTACACAGATGTTGACAACATTAAATAAGTGGACCACTGCTGTTAATAATAAAAAGATAGTTGATATCATATATATAGACTTTCAGAAAGCCTTCGATACTGTGTCTCACTTTAAGTTACTATTTAAACTGCGTTGTTACGGTATCAAGTATGAGTTGCTAAATTGAGTTACAAACTTCTTGACATATCGTTCTCAACGTGTTTGTTTAAAGATTCATACTCAAACAGCATTCATGTAAAAAGTGGAATACCTCAAGGAACTGTTTTGGGACCCATTTTATTTTTAATTTTTATAAATGATATAACCTCATGTGTATTAAGGGGGATTGTGGAATCAAGCTTTTTTCAGACGACAGCAAGTTGTATCAAGCGAGAAAAGAGGGAAATATAATCAACCTTATAAATACTTTAAAAAGAACTTCGGAATAGTCAAACAATTTTCAACTCAATATATCTACCAAAAATGTTTTCACCTGCGATACGGAAAGAATCTATTATCAGAACATTCATACTTATAATATCGACACGCCTATTGAATCAATTAATACAATCCAAGATATTGGAATATTTATTTCTTCCGAAATGAAATTTTCTAAACACTGTTCTCACATTGCTAGCAAAGCAAGTTCTTGTGCTTACTTACTCTTAAAGTCTTTCATCAGTAATGATTCCCAACTTTTGATAAGAGCCTATAAAGTTTATATTCGACCAATTTTAGAGTCATGTACCCTTGTGTGGAATCCGTATCTCTTAAAAGATATACATCGGGTAGAAAAGGTCCAGAAACATCCCAGCGGGCATTAGTTTTTAAAAGTTACGTTCTAAATGTATTTTAAATGTCTTTTAAACGTCTTCTAAACATTCTTACGTAAAGAACGTTTAAAAGACGTTTAAAAAATGTTTAAAAGACATTTAGAACGTAACTTTTAAAAACAAATGCCTGTTGGGATTATACAAGAATTTTCTGCAAACGGTTGTGTATTCCATATAAAGATTATGCTTCAAGACTTGATATCTTTAATCTTCACTCTCTTGAATGCCGGAAAATAAAACTTAATCTTTTAATGACTTATAAGATTATGCACAACTTAGTTGATTTGTCTTTTTCTGAGTTTTTTACTCTCGTTTCTATTCATTATTCAACTAAATATCATTCCCAAAAATTAACATCACGTAACAACTACATCAATGATATAAGGAGATTTTTTTCAGTGAAAGAGTTACTAAGATATGGAATTCTTCACCTGATTATATGGTGTATTCCTCTTCATTGCCTCTATTTAAATCGAACTTTAAAACATACAATATTCACTCTGTTTACTTTTTTTAACTTGGTACAACCCTACATTAGAGTAATTCTCCAATTTCCTGTATCAACTTTTTGTATTTTTATTTAAATGCAAATAAATTGAAATAATAATTAATAAAACAATTCTATTTCTTACTTTTTTAACTTTTAATTGATACCAACATAGGCGTGTCTAGACCTTATTCGTAGGTTACATAATAGAGGCATATTCAGGGAGAGTAGTTTCCTACTCCCCCTGGTTATACTTTAGGTAATACTTAGTAATAGTTAGGTTATACCTGGGTAACTAAATAATAAAAAAGGCTTTCTATATTTAAAGAAGTCTATTTTTCCTATCCATTTTTATAATTAAAGTTTTGTTCGGTGATTTTTTCGCGCTTTTAAATCTCTAAAAGGTCAAAAAAAAAAAAAGGAAGGGTCACTAACAACGCTACTCCTAACACTATTAAGTAGCGTATTATTATATAGAAATTGCTATAGCAATTTATAATTTAAATTAGCAGGTCGAGCCTGTGCGTGACAGCCAAGACTCATTGACACGCCTATGTGATTAATTTAATTAAGTTGATAATTTATTAAATAAATCCTGGAGATAAATTCTATAAAAAGTAAATGCTATATAAAATGAATATAATATATAAATACATTACATTTTATAATAACATTTATTTTGGGATAAATTATATAAATTTGATATATTAAATTATTTTTAATTTGATATATTAAATTATATTTGTTATAAAAGTAAACTTATTTTTTTACGCTTGTTTTGATCGGATACCATTTTTTAATTGTTGATAAAACAGATGTTGGTAAAAATGCCTTGAAATTGTTTGTCATAAATTGGATTCAGAAGACAAAGGGGAGAACTTTTAACACTAAAAACTGTTTTGTAAATACTTTTCAGATGAAGTTTTTTACTAATTAAGTCTGCTGACAGAGCTTTCTTGTATGCATTTACAAATTTGTTCGCTTTTAAATTTAGGTCTACACCCTCATATTTATGTAAATTCAAAATGGGTGAGAATAAATGACATATTGCATTGGATTTTTCAAATCGTGGGCTCAAATTATTTTTTATAAAATCCAACACTGGTTACACTACAGAATTTTTGAAATCCTGATCTGGTCCAGTAAAAGAATTTCTTTTTGTAGGTCAGCTGAAAAAGTACACATAACTGAGCTTGTATTTCTAATAACTTCTGCAACAACTTTTGTCTCTTGAACAATACTTTCCCACGAGTCACGTATGTGAGTTATCTTCTTGTTCGGTACTTGTTAACTTTAACGACTAATAACTTATATTTCATAACGAAGATAAGTTTAGCTTCAGATATCGCTCAAAAAAATCAGCGTGAATATATGAAATAAGTAAAAAAACAAGAAGGTTATCTGAATTTGTGAAATGTCTGTTTGTTTTCTACTTTTTAATTTCAAACGATTTTTTTGGTTCAAAAGTTTTTTATTTTCACACTTATTTTTAAATCAAAACAATAATATTTTACTCGGAGCTACTATTTATTTATTACTCAAAAAATAGATTGCCTGAAATACGCCTAACTTAGGGCCAGTATATAAGGGATGGCATGTGTGTATGGGCGCCCGCATTTTTATTTTCATTTCTAAATAGGACACTTTCACACATTTAGCATAGATACACTTGAGTTTGGAGCTTGCACAAGCTCCAAACATAAGTATGCTTATGCCAAATGTGTAAAAAAAAGGGGGGGGGCGTTTTAAGGTCTTTTGCACCCAGGCCTCCACTTTCTTAATTTTTTGCAAGGCTTCCTCATTTGGCATAGATATAAACATACTTAAGTTTGGAGTTTGCACAATGTGTGGTGAATTTTTGATTGTTATTAATTTTCTATTCGACATTTATTGCTCATAGAAAATAATTCTGATCAAGAATTCATATAACTAACTTATTGAGCAATTTATTAAACTTTGTTAAAATTTTTAACTCTTTGCCCGCCTGTGGGTCTAAAAACGAACCCATTTTTAGATGTAAGCTGTCGCTTCTTTAACTTTATTTTTCAAAGATAAAGATAATAATGTGTACTTTTTCAGCTGACCTTTGTTGTTAATGATTAAGGCAACAACTTCGTCTAACTCACTTAAAATCACAAAATCAACAATCTTTAACTAACTAAAAAGTATAACGATACAAATACTATATTTCATTGGGAGTTTCTGACAAAAGTTGCTCTACTGAGAAAGGTCATTTTTCAGTACAGTTAGGTGAGCAAGGACGTGACCGTTAAACGTGAGGGCGTAACAATTGTCTTAAACGTGGTCAATTCAATCAATCAAATATCCATTCGAAAACTGATAGTAACCATAATTGGAAGTCACTAGACAACAATAAGTACACCAACAGGATTTTCGATATTGATTTTCTGGAATTTTTGGGGGGCAAGTTGAGAAACTACTTTTTCAGAAACTCGATCGGAAAAGTGTTGAAACTGTTCAAACTTGGTGGAGAAAAGTAAAAGTAAATTTATTTTTGTAAATGTATTTACTTGATAAGAACCCTAATTTTTAGGAACTAGGACTTAGGAACTTAGTATTTAGGAGCTATAATTAGAACTTAGGAACTTAGTACCTTAGAAACCTTAGAATCTTAGTATTAATGAGCAAATGGCATTAAAAGCAGAGCTTTTATTCAATACATTATTTAGAAGGCAAAAAAAAAAAAAATGTCAAATGTTGAACATGCTATAATACTAAATTTTTCTATTACATAAGATTCCAGATCTAAGCAGGAGCATCTGATGATGAGGTTGATCGAGGTTTGACTTTATGTAAACTTGAAAAAGCATATTATTTGTACATAATTTTGAACCAGTCTCAATCTTTATTTGAAATGTCTATTATTAACTAAACAGTTAACAATAGACATATCAAATAATCTTTTAGATTATTTGAGATTTCTATAGTTAACTGTATGTTATTAATTTTAAAAAAGTTTTCTGAATTTTAGAAGAAGAGATGTATTCATAAAAAATGAGCAAGTTTCTTCTTTGAGTTTATTCTCCAAATAAAATCAGAGCAAAGGGCCTTATTTGCTTAATTTTTTTTGCCAAAGCCTGAATCAGAGATTAATGGTTTGGATGCTACCAATTTGACAGGAAAGCACTTTCCATCTAAAAAAAATTCTATAAGACAGAGCAGTGTGTGTGATTACAAAGTTAACCCGTCGATTGGAAAGCGAAATAACAAGCGTACTATCAATTATTTCGAGAAATGTCAGAACTGTTTTCAAGACTTTCATACTTAAAGTAAAGCATAAAATCTAGTTTTTAATTTCGTTCACCGAATTTTTTTCACTTTTATTAATTAATAATAATTTATAACACAATATACCTTCGTTATTAGTAATTTTTGAATATTTTATATATTTTTTATATTTTTTGTATTTACATTTTTTTAAATATTTAATAATCAGATGTTAAAATCACCTCAAATTTTTTTTAAATCAGTCAGATGTCTTGCTTGAATGTTGCTAGAAGGTTGCTTGAAGGTTTCTAGAATGACCAAGTAGTTAAAAAAGTGTCAAAAAAGTATCAAACTAACGTTTTTTATATTTTACTGATCAAATTTTTGCTGTGTAACCATATTTTGGTTGTTATGGTAACGTATTTTTTTATTTTTGTTGTTGTATTTGCGATCTTTGATTCATAAGATTTAAAAGTTATTAGTCCATTTAGGTTTATTCGTAGAGAAAATGTTGTAAACAAATTTTAACAGTTTAGGTTTAGACTAAAAAGTTCAAAAAAAATCTGGCACTCTAAACGATTATAAGATTCTTTACTATTTTTTTACTAATTGCATTAGTTCTTGTGGATAATCGTTTTAAGTAACTTTTTGTGTCTTACTTATATGCATCAATTGTTTTAAAATTTAAAATTTTTTTTGTACCCATTTCTGCGCTTTTATTGATTTTATAAAATTTCCAGGATTATTCTCTATAGCATGTGCAGTTTCATTCCGAAGTTGCTCGACGGATTTGCCTGTTAAGCTTGTAAAAATAGTATAACCATCACTACATTGACTTAAACATTGACCGTTTGCGTCAATCAATTGATAATAGTTAGGTGAATTCTCGTTACCTTTAAAAACAACATTGCAAATCTTTGCATTTTTATTCATATTTTTTTCTGTTAATTGATAATTTGGATTGTCTACTATTTTAATATTTACGCAGTTTTCAGCAGCCATGATATATAGCTCAGTAAAATCTACAGGTTTTCCATCTTTTACCTTTTGAGCATATTCTTTTACTTTAGCAACAGTATTTTCTGTAGTATTTAAACTCTTATTTTTTGCAAGATTAGCTTTTAAATCTTGTTTTATTTTTAAATCTTCAGATATTTTGTTTTCTTTTTCTTCCACAGATTTTATTTCGCAATCAAGCTGATTTTTTTCAACCACGCTTTGGATTTTTGTTGAAAGAGTACTTGCAAGTTCATCTATTACAATATTACTCCAGGGAGAAAGTAGTTGGGATTCAGCTATTTTTACAACTTGATTGGTAATTACATCTGAAATGGACTTCATAATTATGCTAAAGTCGCTTATTTCAAAACTCGATGTTTTTTGAAATAATAATTTTATTAAACTAATTATATCATTTTTATGATGGTTGTACTGAATAAGATCAATATTGTCTATTTGAATCACTATTTTTGTTAAATCTTGATATTCAAATGTTTCTTGTGAGGTAAACATAGAAGAGTCTGGGTTGTAAAACTGCGTTGTTTCCTGAAAGGTTGAAATACTCTTAAAAGCTAAAGGATTTAAATTGTCATCGTTACCTATCACACCTTGTGTTTTAAGTAACCCATAAATTTCACTTGCTTCTGAAATACTCACTTCGCAATGCTGTTGGATTAAATGCGATATAGAGAAGTATTCTTTATCAAGATGAGCTATTTCTTTTATTAGATAATCAAATACCATATTTATTATTGTTACTAGTTGAGCTATCCCGTCTAATGTACTAAAAATGCATCCAACAAGTGCACTATTAACATTATAAAGTAGTGAGTAAATGGAACTTCCTATTTTTAGAATTAAATTTCTTGAAGTATCGTTATTCATTAGATTGACTATACCCGCTAACACTATATTAATTTTTTCTCTTAAGTTAGCATGCTTAATAAGATTATCTATTGCATACATTTTACTTACCATCTTTAACAACAATTCACAAAATTTTGTTTGTACTTTGGCTTGAATATATTTAGAAATTTCTGGTTTAAAACGTTCCAAAGCTAAGTCTATCAAAGAACTCGCTACGATATTCGAACCTTTTTTTATAGCCGAAATTCCAGCAGTAACTGCCATTTGTTTAAAAGCTAAGCTTTTTAAATTTTTTCCTGTTTGTATTACTGTTTCCCCAACAGTTTTAAAATTTGTTATAGCTTGTGTTGTTGCTTGTTCAACTACCTCTGATCCTATCCCTTCTGCAAGAACTACTGTTCCTTTGCCAGCATTTTTAATTGCTCCCCATCCCATTGATACTGCTGATACAGCAAGACTTATTGCTTTTTGTGTTCCATAAGCCTTCCAACTAAATTGTCTTGTACTATAGGCTTTATACACTGTATGTAAATCAGCAAAACCTTCAGTAATTAATCCAATTCCTACTGTGGCACTCCAACCTGACGCAACTAGTGCTGTTCCTACTAACATTTGAACAGCTGCAATAGCACTAACAATAGATATACTCATCCAAGGAATGAATCCTTTTTCAAAAATTTCTATTAAAATTTCAATTCCCCGTGCGGCAAACTCTTGAAGTTCAAGAACAGGTCTATTTTCTTCTAAAAAAAGCTCTCCTAAAGTTTTAAATTTTGTGATTTCTATATCCTCCTGTTTTATTGAAGCTTTTTGGATCAATTGCTCAAATTGCAAGCGGTTTAGGTTTTTGAATATCAAAGAAAAGTCTTGATTTGCTTCTCTAATTTTGGGAATAAATTTACTTGCATTAAAATGTCCCAGATTTTTAAAGGTGGCTCTAGCATAACACTCTCCTTCAAAATATTTTAGAGCATTAACCGCAGATTTTTGATTTACTGAAACTAAATTGATATTAAATTTGGATTCCGGGCATAATTTAAAAACGTTCTGTGCTTCTTCTTTGGTCAATTTCTCAATTTTAATAAATTCAATTTTTTCTTCTTGTATCTTTTCTAAAGCAATATTTGCCTTTAATGTAATAGAAAAAGAACCTTCTTCTTTCGCGAATAAAAGCTGAACATCTTTCGTTGAAGATTTAACAGCTTTAAGCAAGTCTTCTGGGGTACCCTGTATTTCAACTGTTACAACTTCAAATTCTGTATTTTCTATTTTCTCCTGAGCACTTTTTGAGGTTATTTGAAGAAATTCTATATCAAAACCAATTTTCGATTTTTGAATAAAATCAGCTGTTTTATTAGCGTTTATAAAATCTATACTAAAACGACATTTATCATCTTTTTTCTCAACAAGATCTATTGCTTCTTTTACTGAGATATTTTTAAACTCAAGATTTGTTCTGTCTTCTGCAGTAATATATAAGTTAACCAGAGTCTTAGAACATAATTTTTTTTTTTTTTCTAGCTTTTTTATTGCAATTGTTTTAGTTACCTCTTCAGATGTTTCACCAGTATTTACAAAACTTAAGGTGAAGCGATATTCATTACTTTTTTTCTTAATAATATTTACTGCTTGTGCTATTGGTAACTCATTCCTAACGTTTGTTTGTTTATTTTTCCCTACAATAGTTAAGTTAACCTTAGATTGCGATGATAAACACCTTTCAATAAAAGAGCTTTCCTTTTTCAAGTAGTTTATTGCAACTTCTTTGGTTGTTTCTATAATTTCAATATTAGGATTTAGTAGAGCACGCAGTTTCTCAGCATTTATATTCTTCATAGTGATATGGACGTTCTTGTAACTTTTTTTTAGTATAGAAGATTGAATAAGTTTTACCTTTTTTAAAATGTTATGAGGCAAAGTTTTATAATCTTTAAATGCTATACTTATAGTTTCAACAGCTTGATCTATAGCACCACTGTCATTTCTTACAGTTAAATCGTTAAATGTAACTTCAAAATGATCATAGTTTGCAAGTTCACTAAACTTTTGAATCATATGACTATTTTTATCTCTTTCAAGCTCAAAATATGATATGATTTGGTTTTTATTAATTACTTTAACATCAATTAACCTTTGAGATTTTTTGATAACAGATATAGCCATTTCAATGCTATTAATATAAGAACATAAGAGACTTGTTTTTTGAATTAATTGTTTAGATAAATCACTATGAATATTACTCGTTTGATGATGCAATAGAGTTTGTATTAAATTAAGCATACCCATCTCATTACCTAAAATATGTAAAGCAACATTAAGGGATTCAATACTTTTTTGCTTATAGTTATCTAAATCCTTATGTTTCTTAAGAAAGTACAATGCTTTACCTACAAAAGCTGCACAACTAAAGTTCTTATCAAGTTCAATAGCTTTTTCAAAATGCTTATTAGCTTCTTCATATTCGGCACTGTTATTTAAAATAAAATCATTTGCTATAACGATGTGATAATATGGGTTTTTTATTATAGTCTCACTTTTATAACCACTATTTAGCTGTTCAACAAAATGTTTATACTCACTTTTTGCATGTTCAATTTTTATTGTCCCATCATCAATTTTTCTTAAAAACATTCCCCACTGCTCTTCAATAGCAGAGAGTATGCTAAATTCATAGACTGATGGCATTACGTTGACAAATTGGTCCTTGATAATTTCCCATGTTTTAGTTAAAGAACTTTTTTTTTTTCTTATCTCAGCTCTTATTTTGCATAAAAAAGCGCAAAATTTTTTAAACAACATATCTTTTATTTCAATTGTTTTAAGTTCTGATTTTGTAAATTTTTCAAAACTTTCAGTTTCGTCTTTATCTCTTGCTTCCTTTGAATTATGTGCTATATTTTGAATATTTAATATCATTTGGCCAGTGCCACGTTTGCCTTGCCTTGAAGTTCTACCAAAAGCTTGTTCCTCAACTCGTTGATTAGATGGCATAAACGTTAAGATAACATGTAATCCTCCTTTTTCTTCAATATCATCAGTTTTAATATCAGTACCACGTCCAGCCAAGTTTGTTGCAACTATTATCTCTCCAGAACAAACCTTTTCTATTTCTTTTTCCTGATTCATGTCATTCATGTCATAAAGTTTGATAGCTTCTGCTCTATATCTTTTTTTAAGGTTTTGAGAAATAATTTGTGCATGTTCTATAGTGTTGCAAATAATTAATGCTCCCCTACACTTGTTTACTTCATGAATAGCAGAATTTATAATTTCATAAAGCCATTGCTCATGGTTTAGTGTATTTATATCTGGAAGTTGTATATATTGCTTTTGATGTAAGCGAGGAATATATACTAGATCTACAAAATATACATTTGACAGCACTTCTCTAGCTTTTATAGATCCTAACGTCCCGGTAAGGCCAATAAGATTATTTTGATATCTTTTAAAATACCCAATATTTGATAAAAAGTTGGTAGTAAGAGTCTCAGATGTCATTTTTAAGTTATGCTTAATTTGTAAAAATTGATGTAAGCCATCGCTCCAATTTGTAGAATTCTGTACAACACCGGTACTGTTATAATCTACTGGCTTAATCATGCCTTCATGAACAACATAATGGACTCTTTCTTGATAGTTAAACGCTTCAATAGCATTTTCAGCCCATTTACTAATTTGAGTTTCAACAAACTCTTTAAAGTTGTTTGGTATTTGAATTTTACCCTCTGGTTTAATATCAAAACGACTGATATTTTCAAAGCTAATGTCTTTATCTGATGTTAAAGCAGTTAAGTAATCTTGTAAATACTGTTTAAGGAATATATTAGAGTCACCTTTAATCTCCTCACATAAAGCATTCAAAGAGTTACCAGATTCAATATGTTTTTTTAAATCAGAAATTTGAAATATATTTCCTTTATCATCAGCATATTCTAAAACTATTACATTTTGGTTATATTTTACTTTTCCATATGCCAAATATTCTTTGCCATTAATGTTGATTAATCGGTCTTGTAAAGAGTTAAGCCTTTGCCATAAAAAATGATATATGGGTTGCAATTGATCCATGCCAGCCATGGTATTTGCAAGTCTAGCAATCTTAGAACTATCATCAATTAGCATGCTATCTACTTCATCAACAATTGCAACCTCACACTTTCTTGTCGATAAAGCACCGAGGCAACTATACTCTTCTCTTAAAGTATCAAATTGAAACTGAGCTGTATCTCCATATACCACATCTTTTTCATAACAATCTTTTGCTCCTTTTATGTAAATGGATTTGTCACTATTACAATCAGTGCTTAAATCAAACATATTATATAGTTTAGCGTTTTCTTTAGCATCTCTCTCTGCTAAAACAGGGGAACTTGTGATAATGTCAACTTTTTTTCCTTTTAATGCATAAACTATAGCTAACATACTTACCATGGTTGACTTGCCTTCACCAGTAGAAACTTGTAATAGCCTTCCTTGATTGTGTTTTTTATGCAAAGCAACAAAGCAGCTTAAAATTTGAGAGTCGCTTAAATGAAATTCTCTCGTCAATAAATAAGCTCGCTTAATTACGGCTAATACTTCTGTTATAAAATAACTTTCCTTAAAGCATTTGTTATCTAATTTTACCTTTTTTGCCCATAATTTTATATAATCTTTATTCCATTCAGAAATGATAGGGATCTCTTTGTGTAATTCTATTTCATCAGAAGATTTTAATATTTTGCTTTTAAGCCCTGGATTTTTAACTTCCTCTATTTTCTCATCAAGTTTATCTTCAATCAATTTTAATATATCTAGATTATTTGCATTTTTATCACCTAATTCTCTGATAAGTTCTGATAAATTTTTTATTTTCCCAACTACCTGAAAATTATTCTCAACAGCAATCAGATTTACTTCTTTTACCCAGGTTTTGGTTTCTTGATCTAATATGCTTAGGATTTTAGAGTGTGTAGTAAGTGGAACATTGTACTGGTCTATTATTTCAAATACTTGATTGAGATTTTCTAATTTTTCTTGATTTATAGTATTGGAATCACCAAGTTTAGAAATTAACAAATTTAATTGCTCGAAACTCCATTTTTTAATAAAAAGATTATCAATTGTTTTTTCTAATTGAAGAGATTTTGCTTGCTTATAAAACTTGCTACTTAAAACTTGGATCTCTAATAGTTTGTATAAGTCATGTATTGTATTTACTTGCTCTGGAGAAAATGATTTCTTAACTTTATGATGACAAATAAATTCTATTAAGGAGTCTAAAACGCTCAAACTTTCTATAACTTTGACTTTATTTAAATATGTTGTAATAAGTGATAAGTTCTTTGGCGTAAGACGTGCTACTGTACTTATAATATATTCCATACTTGTTTGTTGTGTTTTGGATTTTGCAGCTATTAAATTTATAAGCCACTGCTGTTTCAATTTTAGTTGCCAATTATTTCCAGCGTCAGATAAAATACCAATTGCATTTTCAAAACTAATTTGCTTTAAAGCATCTAAGGCTTCAAAAACTTGATTAAATGCGCATTTATATTTATTTTGAGCATATAAAATTAGCTTAAGTGTTGTATCAGCTCTTTTATCATGATATTCAGGTAAAGATTTTAATTCAAACCAGCTTTTATAGAAGTTGAATCTTTTATCTATGCCTAACTTATCAAACCTTGCTAACAAGTCTGAGATTAAAAGATCCCTATGCCATTTTTGTCGGTGTTCAGCATTCTTATTCAAACATTCTAAATTTACATAATTTAATAATGATAAGGTATCAAGTAATTCTAAATTTTCCTCATCAAGTTTGTTTTCAATAGCTAATCCTGATTCTATTAAATTATTTAAATTAATTTTGCACCAATTTTTAAAAACACTTGATTCATAACCAGCTCTGTTTATTTTTCTTAAACTTTGAAATGATAACTTTTTAATGTTTGGCTCCAAACTTTCAAGACTTTTTTCTAATATCAATATAGTATTATTTGGAATTTGATCTGTTACTTGCGTGGCTTGATTAATACATTCAAGTATAGCAATCTTTATTTCATAAGAGCTGTTATCTTTTATTAAATCACTGAAGGTATTAAGAATAGCAGTCAAATCTTGATAATGTTTAAGCTTAATTAAGTGTTTACATCCATCAATAATGTTTTTATTTACTTTTTTTGTAACTATTGCTTTTTCTATAATATGCAAAATATTCTCATTTGATAGTTTTTGACCTTGAATTAATAAAGAAGAGAAAATATTAGCAAAACTCTCAATAAGATCAAGGTCTTCTCCACAATCTTTACATGTAATAACTAATTTATCAATAACCTGACTTGGTAATTTTGTACCTTCTAGCAATTCTTTTTGAATTCTCTCAAAAAGCTGGTTCACTTTTTGTGGGTTTCTCTTAAGTAATAAGTTATCTATATCTAATAATAATAATCCTATATAACTAGGAATTTCTTGATTTTCAGCAATCAAAGAAAATGTTTCCCAAAATGATATTAATTTTTTTTCATTTGACTCTGTCATTAGTTTATATAAAGCTGATGTAATTTTAGGAGTTATGGTTTTCTTTTCTCGTACTATTTGTTTTATAAGTAAATGGTAAGAGTCCTTAAACTCTTCTGAGTTAGTATTAATTGATAACACCGAAATATTATGCAATAGTTCATCAATAATATCTTTTTTGTTGGGAGTAAGAAGCAAAACTTTGAGAGCTTTATTTTGAAGTTCAGGTGATTTTTCTATAATTGTATTAATCTGTACAAAATTTGTTTTTAGTAATTTATTACCATTACTTGTTAATTTAATCATTTCATCTAAAGCTAAACTACCTGAAAGATTAGATAATCTTAAGAGTATCAGCTTGTTTTGCTCATTCTTTTGAAGTTTAGCATTTTCTAAAATTGATAAAATATTATCTTTTACTTCTTCATCACAGCTCGTTGCTTTATTAACTAAGCATTTTAATAGATTATTATCCAAATGGTCTTTAAAAGATAAAATTTTAATTGCTTTAACAGCTTCTTTAACAAAATGTCCATTGTCACTCAAAACGCCTTTTAATAGTATTTGACTGGCAAGTTCTTTATTAAAACCTTCATTGTTTTCAATAATAGAAATAATAGAAGACAGATATTCATGCTGTAAATTTATATTTTGTTTTCCATTCAAAAATTCATCAAAAATTTTATTTATAATGTTGGGCGAAAGCTTCTCGCCTTTTTGTCCTTGAAATACAAAAATCAAAAGTACTTGATCATATATTTCACTGCCAACTTCTAGAGTTTTTTCTAAACTTTTAAAAAAGTTATCTGGTATTTTTTGATTATTTTTTAAAAGAGAACTAAAAATACAAAGCAATGAACTTTGGTTTTTCCCAGCATTAAATTCAGAAACTAAAGTATCAACTAAATAATAAGGAATAATTTGCTTGTGTTTTGCTGCATACATTAAGATTGCCACAGCATTTGGAACTGTGCTTTGTTTATCTTTTGCTTTATATATCAAAATTTTTAATTGGTTTAATATTTTAAAATTACTAACCGATAATTTTTTGCCATTACGCACACTCTCTGTTAGGTACTCAAATGCTCCTTCTTTCTCCTTATCATTATCATAGTCTTTTCGTTCATCTATAACTTTTCCCGCTCTTTCCATTTCCAAAACATTAAATACTTCATCTGAAATATCCTGATTCTGGTTAGCAATGTCTAATAGGTCAAAGGATTCGTCATGAACTTTTGCAATATCTGAAAAGAAAAAATCATCTGTAAAAACTTTAAGTATGTTATTTGATACAGGCTGACCATTTTTAATAACTATTTTAAGTACGTTCAAAGCTTCATTTGATATGTGAGATATACCATAAGCATTTTCAATAGCAAGGATAGTATTTTCAGGAACGAGGTGTTTTTTGTTTTGGGTGTATTTATTGAGTATATTAATTGCATCATCTTGACCTTGACTTCCATAAAATAAAATATAATCTAGTATTATAAAAACGTTGTTGTCGAATTCCTGATCTTTTGATGCTTCTTTTAAAAGGAAAAACAAAATATTTTCATTAACTTTATCTGTAAAGTTTTCTTCACCTAATACTAAATCTTCAAATGCATAAATTTGGGGAAGAAATTCAAAATGACTTTTTGCTTTATCTTCTGGTAAGTTATTCAACCCATTCGCATATGCAGCCGTTAAATAAGTTCTAACATCTACAATATTATCATTTACATAATCTCTAAACCTAATTAAAAGATCATTATTAAGTTCTTGTTTTAAAGACGCAAAGTACAAAGTTTTTGCAGCTAAAATACGAGCTTGTTTATCTTTACCATCAACACATTTAATAAGGTTTTCTAAACTTTTTTCATCAAGTCTCGCTCCTTGTTGAACCGAGGTCAAGAAAATTTTTCCCACTATTGAGCAAATTGAGGTCTGGAAAATATTTTTTTTATTTTTAATTGAGTTCTCAAATGTAATCTCAGTCCCTTCTTTTACAATTATGCTATTATCTAATAATTTATACGCTATTTTTCCAAGGTTAGATATTTGAATTTTTTCGCAAATATTTCCTAGAACCACTATTGTAAAATTTACAGATTTTTGATCAAAGTTTTCAATATTACTGATTAGAGTTTGAACAACAAAGTTTGGTAAATTTTTACTTTTTTCAATGTTTATTAAGATAGATCTTAAAACTTCAGCTTTTAATTCAGGTCCACTTTTTGCATTTTCAAAAACTTGAATATAGCTTTTTAATACGTTTTCACTCAAACCTTTATCATCGTGTTCAAGATAATTGTTGATAATTTCACAGCAATTTATTCTAGCATCATTATCAAAATCATCATTATTTATGATTTTACTAATTCTTAATAACGTGTTCTCTTTAAACAGCTCTGCACATCTTTTTTTATCTTTTGTTTGAAAGTTGATGTATTGTATGGCTTCTTCAATCTCAATATTACCTTCAAGTTGTTCTAAATATCCTGTAAAAAGCCTTGAATAACCTATTGATTCACTATTTATGGATTCCGCATATCGTAAAATCTTTGTTACAACCGCTTTAAACTTTGTATCGTTATCCTCCAAACATTTATCAATTTTTTCAAGTAATTGTTTTGTTAAAAATTTTCCTCTGCTTAAAGAAACACAGTTATAAATTGATGCTATGCTATTTAATCTTATTTGATTAATCTCAGATGAAAACTCTTCTATTATTTCCGTTTCTTTATTATGATGAGTTTTGTAAGTTTCTTTAATTTTAGAAATTTTATCAATAATAATTTCTTCAATGTCATTTAAATCTTTCTCAGGTAACGAACTATTAAATATAATACATGCAATCTTTTTATCTGATTTATTGTCAAATATCCTGCTTTTAACAACTGCTATCTTATCTAAACAGATCATTAATTTATTTATTGCTTCATTGGTTAGTTCCTGTTTTGCTGATATTGTTAAAAAAGTTGCCGCAATCATTCTGTCTATTATAAAATTCTTTAAAGGATTTCCAAAATACTTAGGTTTATTATCTATAAATTTTTCAATTAGGTAATCGTCTTTGTCTCCTTTTTTGAGCTTGTAGTCTTTTATTTTCGCTAAACCGTAAAGTCTTTTAACAGTTTTATAGGTAGCTTCATACCATGTTCTATCGTCACCTTTTTTATCATCAGTTTCAATAGTTGGTAAATTTTCAGCATTAAAACTTGCTCCAATTTTTTTATTTCTGTTTCTTAATGCTTCTGCTAAACTTATCGCAATAATTTTTGTTTCTTCTGACTGACTACAAATTTTATGATTAATAGTTACCTGTTGAGTTTTAGTAACATAAGCCTGTGGTGGTTTACGTACATAGTTTGTTGGTACTTTTATTTTATCACAGCTAGTAATAACTATTTCATTATCATTCCTTTGTTGATTTTCTATTTGCTGCATTAAAAAATGTTTAGCAGCAGGGTTTACTTGTTGTATATTATGCTTAATTTCTTCTTCAATATCTTGCGTTAAAGTTTTATACAAACTATTTCTCATCACATATCCTAAAGACCAAACAATTTCAGACAGCACATTAAGGTTAGTGTTATTTTTCAAAATATTTATAAAATCTGGGATAGTAAGACCAGAACAGTTGCTATCTTTTCTCATTGAGTACTTTAAGGTTTGAGCAAATACTAATTTAGTTGGATGATCTACCATTTCGTTTAATAACTCTTTTGTTATGTTTGTTAAAATTGCAGGAGTCATACCATGCCTCCTGGCAATATGAATTAATTTTTTCAAATCTTCTTTTATTAATAAATGTAGAGTTATATTTGCTGCAGATACACAATTTAACATTTCATGTACAAATCTTTTATCAAAACTAACAGATATAAACTTAGGCAAAATGTATTCCTTTGTATAAGATTTGCATAGGTTAAGAATGTAGTTGATTCTTTCACCTATATTAATAGAATTGTATGTTTTTAATAAAGATGTTTGTAGCAAGACCTCTAGTAAATTATTGATGGTTTTTTGTGAGAGTTTTTGTTTGTTTTGTACTGCATAAGTTATTGCACATAAAGCAAAACGGGAATTTTCAGAATTTGCGTCTAAAACTAGAATTTGACTCAAATTTTCTATAGTTTCTTCTAATAAATTTTGCCTTGATTTTGCCAAATGCATTAGTTTTACAATAGTATCATTTTTACAACTATTAAATGGATCACCTAAAGCAATTACTTTATTAAATGAATCCTCTAAAGCCATATTGTTGTGAGAGTTGCTGCCCATGTTTACTAATTCTCCAAAAGTGTTAACAATATTTCAAAATTAATAAGCGTTTACAGTCCTATTAGTTATGCATAATCTTAGTAAGTTAGTTTTTCTTGGTAAAAGAACTTTGAGGTGGTGTGACTTTTTTTTCTTCAGGTTTTCTTTGTTATCCCAGATAACTATAAAAAAAATAATTTTAAAAGCTCTAACTTATTACTTTAAATAAATATTATCTAATAATGGAAATATAAAAAAATATTAATAGTATTATAAAAAAAGATTCAAAAAACTTATATTGCAAATTAGAGTAGGGCATATTGGGACAGTGGGGCATAACGGGATAGTTATGTCTGAAGCCTTATATCTTAGTTGAAAAAATGTTTTTTCCAAAAAATTTTTTTATAAAACATTTTAAATTATTGTACCATATTATTGTAAAAAAAAAATAATTAATTTAAAAGTACCGAAATTCATTCAAAAAATCAAAATGCATCAGTAAGTTTGCAAAAACCTTGCCTCAGTAAGTTTGCAAAAAATAAAATTAGTGTATTTTTTTAAACAATACAACGACAAAAGATTTATCTTAAACTTAAAATTTATAAAAAGTTTATATTCTTCAGACAGTATTTTTATTTGAATCTGGTTTTAAAAAAATATCTGGAATTGAACTTTTTGAATATTTTTAATTTCAGTAAAATGACTTTTGTGGGGCATATCGGGACAGCAAGTTATTTATATATTTGACTATATTACTAACATTTTGTTTACAGTTTGATTATTCTATTTTAAATCTAAAATATTATTTATATTATTTAGAAAAGTAATATTAATAATGAATTCAAAAAAAATATTACTTTATAACATAACTTCGATTATAAATCGTGGTTAATGTAAACAACAATAGCAAGAAGTTATATAAAAAAGATCAATCATTCAAAATGGGATAAAATGAAGCTTTAGTTGTGAATGAAAAGGAACTTAGAATTCGAAAAGTTGCTAACACATATGGCATATTTAAATTTGGTCTACATTGGTATTTTGCTAATAAGTTAGCTAATCAAAAATGTTACCAAATAGTTTCAGAATATTTTTGTGTGATTTATGTAATCCATTATATTTTTTGTTTAACTTTAAATTTATAAATATTTACCAATTTAATAATATATATTACTTTTGCCCGATTTAAATTTTAGAACAAGTTTGTTTAAGAGTATATTATAATAAAACGGAAGACGGTTTTTTTATTTTAGTTTGTGGTATATGTGTGTGGTATGGAAGTGTAATTTTTATGGTTATGCTACTTCTTTGAGATTTTAATTTCTGAACGTGTTTAAATGATAAAATATCTTCATTTTTTGTCAATTTTAAAGCTTTACAATTAGCGAATAACTGCTGCTTTTTAGCTGTCCCGCTTTACCCCACTTACTTGCAAAATATGGATATTTTGCTATTCTAGAGTTTCGTTACTTTCGTTGTCATAGCTTATTTTTAGAAATTTTTTTATGTTTTTCCGTTTTCTTATATCAATGTATTTTCGTAAACTTATAAAAAACAGTGTTAATTATAGTTAGTTTATCCGCAATTAGCATTTGTTTCTTAAGTGTCTCAACATGGCTCTCTCTACCTTTATATATTAGTGTTGTTACGACTATTAAATATATCGGCTGTTGTCTAAATTGGCTAATATATTTTCTAGTTTAAAATCGGCTAATAGATTTCCAAAATTGACTAAAAGTCAATTTTAAAAAAGTATAATTTTCAAAATCGACAATATTTCTACTAAGTTGATTAAATGTCGATTTAGTAGAAATATGGGAATAATTTATTTTTTTGAAATAAGTTCTAATAAAAATAATAAAGTGATTTATATTTGCTTTCTATTTTTTAACATAATATCATTTAAATGTTATTGGAGCAAACCAATATGAGAAAAGGGCCGTTTCGTTAGTTTATTCCTAGACCCCAATGACTTTGGGACTACCGTAAATACTTGCTAAATAGCAAATTCTTTACGATCATATTTACAATGTGATTTTATAGAATGTATAGATTTCGAAGCTTTTTAACTTAATTTTGCCCCAAGTCTGCTTGAAGCTGCCCTGTATGAAAGTATTTAAAGAAATCAAAGAACCAAGTTAACAAAGTAAAAAAATATAAAAATAAAATACATAACGGAAAGTTTAACTTGGTATAAATTTTTTTTAATTGTAGTTAATAAGGTGTTCCCAGAAGTCCTAACGGTATAACAGAACACAAAACAGAGAAAAACAGAGGAAACAAAAAACTAGGTAATATTTATAATTGTACATGCTATTGTTATTAAATGAACAATCAAAAATTAAATGAAAAATCAGAAATTGAATGAAAATATATAAGGATTTTAAAATTTTTACTCGACTAAATTAACTTTAAGTCAATTAGTAGAAAGTCCATAGTCGATTAAATCGACTATTCAATTTTTCGAAAATCTTAAAAGTATATTAGTGTTGTAATCAGCTTAGACAAAATTGACTAAAAGTCAGCTACCCAGTGGGCACCGGACCAAAAAAAGGGACGTCTTTTGTACGTTTAAAAGATGTCCAAAACGTTCAAAAGACGTTCAAAAGACGTCCAAACGTGTATAAGACGTTTGAAAGACTTCTTTTTTACTTCCGTGTCCACTGGGTAGTCAAATGTCAAAATTAGTCGACTTTCAAAAAATCGAATAACCGATTTATTCAACTAAGGACTATATATATATATATATATATATATATATATATATATATATATATATATATATATATATATATATATATATATATATATATATATATATATATATATATATATATATATATATATATATATGCAACTTTTGGGATCAGTGAAATCAATCTTTTATTTGAAAAGGGCCTAATGTCCTAATACAGTTTTAAAAGTTTTGATGCTATTTTTATAATGTTAAAAGAAATTGACAGTGCTAAAAATTGCGTATAAAGTTTTGCTTTCTAGTTAGTATGTTTGAGCTTCAAATAGAAACAAAACGTTTTTAACAAAAACCCCTAAAACGATTCTATTTTAACAAAATGTTGTTTTAGAGACTATTTCACTTTAAACTCAATTTTCTTTTTTGGATGGTGTAACCAGATTTTAATTTTTATGCCAAATGAACCATGAATATTTCTAGAATACCGGCATTTAGTCATTTTTTGGTCCTCAATATTAGGGTTAGGACCATAATTGGCAAACAGTGATTTATCACTTCCTGTTATTAAATTTTTGGCATAAATTATTTTATGTCTTCAAGTATGTTAAATATATATTCCTATTGAAAGTTTATTTATTTTGAGAATATTTTATTAATACGAATTTATTAACACGTAAATTTTTTAGCGGTTCTCGACGACAAGACCTTACGGTCGTCTACAAGTTCCCGCGTTCTTTTATTTTTTAATAACGATCATGTATATATATATATATATATATATATATATTTATATATATATATATATATATATATATATATATATATATATATATATATATATATATATATATATATATATATACATTGTTAACGAATATTTATGAAATCACAAAGTTGTAAAATATATATATATATATATATATATATATATATATATATATATATATATATGTATATATATATATATATATATATGTATATATATATATATATATATATATATATATATATATATATATATATATATATATATATATATATATATATATATATATATATATATATATATATATATATATATATATATATATATATATATATGCTCGCATGAGTTTATGATTAAGATGTTATTAATTAATAACATATTTTAAGTATAAACTGTACTTATAATAGTATTATAAGTATAGTTTATATTCATAAAAGTATTAGATATGCAATTATGTGTGTACATATATATGTGTGTGTATTTTAAATTTTTTAGATTTTACAAACTTTGACGATTTCCAGGATATATTGGAACAGTATATGGAGCATATTCTATAACAAGTCCTGAAATAGAAAATGCGGAACTGTATCAAAACAGAAAAGAATATTTTTCTTTGAACTGCCCAGCAATTAAAGGTCCTTCAAAAGAAATTTTTTCTGCTTGTATTCAATGGACTAGATGTGTTCAATGATCACGAGATATTATTAACTCAGTCATTAAACAGGTTTTAGAAGCTCACCAGCACGTCCATGCTATAGGGGGCTGATAATATATATATATATATTATCAGCACTGGTGTGACAATGGAATGTTGTAGTAACAGAGAAATTTTATAGACATTATTGTATTTTACTTTACTTCACAACATTGCCTTTTAACAAGATGATTTTTAGGTATACAATTAAATGTAAAACTATAATGAAGAAAATGGTTCTGAGTATCTACATGAGGTTTTTGAGGAGAAATTAATATAGAGACTCGATTCTCTTTAACTTATCAAAGAATAAAAACAAAAATAATTGAAATGAAACAAACAAAATCTTTTTTATTGATAAAGTATACAAAGGACTCAATCTGTAAAAAGTTTTATTTTGTGAAATAAAAATAACATTCAAAAGCAAAAATATGCTCTAATAAAATAATCGTGTTTATTAAAATCAATGTATTATTATGTAACATTATCAATATTTTTTGTAAATTTCTATTTTATGTTATAATATTTTTGTTATTTTTTTGGCTATTCTGTGACTCATTTGGTCATTTGTTATAAAATAATATTGATATATATATATATATATATATATATATATATATATATATATATATATATATATATATATATATATATATATATATATATATATATATATATATATATATATATATATATATATATATATATATATATATATATATATATATATATATATATATATTATATATATATATACAGTAGCGCAGCACTGATTTGTATCATGGGTGTGGCCATATTCAAACCAAAATCAACCAGCAATTATGGGCACATGACATTACATTTATGGAATGCCAATATATGTGTGTGGTTCACTTGTTCATAAACACAAAAAGTCAAAACTTTCTAAAAATGGCACTACGGTTATCCTTAAACAGAAACTCTTTACAAACATCCACAAGATCCAGTTCATTGGCGATTTCCCGATGAATTTTAAAAATAGCTAGATGCGTTAATCTTGATTCTGATGTTG